GGCCTGGTCCCCACTAAGTCCCCAAATCGGACTAAGGTACGCAAATTCAGCTACGTTAATAACGTAGCTGAATTCGAAGTACCTTAGTCCGAACTTACCGCGGTCCAGACGCGGCCGGAAGTCTCCCCCCGTCGATGCCGCGTACTCCTCTCGGCGAGCTGGAGTACCGGCGCCGACTGTGAGCACTTCCGGGATCGATCCCAGAACATCGATGGCGTGCCGCCGGACCAGCCGGTAAGTGAAGACTAGGCCTTAGATGATATTTGTGCTAAAGTTTTGAAAAAAAAGTAATGAAGGCAAATCTGTAGATTTTTTTGGCTAGTGATTTGCCTTCTTCATTCTGTTATGTCTGAGGTATTATAGTAAGTTTTATTAACTTGATTTCAAACTTAAAAAAAAAGTGTTACAACATTCTGTTTCCTCAACAACTTTCAATGTAAAGAACAGCATACGGTTTACCTTGAAATTCAGACTCTCCTTTATTATGGTTTTCCGAAGTTTGATCATAGCATCAGATTCTTCTGTAGCATTTACAAAATGAGAATCTTTGATTGCTGGGAAGCCCCTCTTATTCGACAGCTCTCTGGTAATTTTACTCAGGCAGGCCTTACGTTGCTTCTCACCAGAGGCATCTAAATGAGTGCCAACAAGAATCACGGGGGATGAGGAAGCTCGAGCCTGTTAATAAGATCCACACAGTTTGTTATCTCAGTGTTGAATCATGATTTTCTCTTTGATTATGTTTACACAATTCAACCATTTGATCATAACAACATATGTAAGTCTAGGAACACAAAAAGGCAACCATGTTTGTCACTGCTGCCTCTTTTGGTCATAATTTATATTTGTCTATTTTCTTCTCAAAAGTGAATGCAGAGTAATATTAGGAACTTTAAAAACTGATTTGTTTTAATTCACATCCTGCCAGAATTTATGAAAAAAACTGAGCTTTTAAAATATGTAATACAAGGAAATATTTTAGGTCTGCTGATGGAGTAATCAGAAGAATTAAATCTGAAAGTATATGCGTTTGAAGCTGCACACCCATTTTATAGTTTTGATTCGGTAAGGCAATAAAATGTTACAGATCTGTGTCTGTAGTATATTTTAACGTGCAAGAATGGGTTTGATCCCAAACACAGAGTCAAACACACCTTTAGCTTGGGGAAGCTCGGATCTAGAATCCAAACTTTGCAGCTTGGTTCCATTTCTAGTAATATACTCTAGCAAACGTATTTTTGGAAAATACAATCTTTCAGCAAACAAATTCGTGCATCAATGAACAAGAGGTACTGAAAGTGGGAAAGGAGTACATGTCAGTTATGGCCTTTTCTAAAAATTCACTGACTATGGCTTTATACCTTGGGGCAGGGAAACAAGATGTGAACACTGTGTGATGAGTGAAGGAAAATAGCAGGTAACAGTTATGAGAAGAGTGAAAAAACCTAATATCTTTATACTGATCAACCTCTGGTACAGTTAGACTGAAAAGAGTAAGGGTATAATGCTCAACTTGATAGTTAAGGATACGATGAGATCACGGAGGTCATGGATTCTGTGACTTTAATGGACCTCCGTCACTACTTTGGCTTCAGCCTCGCCGTAGTGGCTGTCAGCAGCAGGAGCTAGAGCTGTTCCCCACCATGGCAGTTGTGTGTTAACCAGTATAACTCTACTGACTTCACTGGAGTTTACAGCAGTGAGAAAAGTGAACCAGGGCCAATGTTCAGAACTCTCTACACACTATTTAACGGTGCCCCCTTACACTGTTTTGTCTATGCAAAATAACATCATAACTTGCCAAATTCTCATTATGCATACCCTACTGCACAAATTTGAACTGAAAACTGCACTTCTTTATAAGTCTGCAAAAAATTGTGAAGACATTTTTATAATCAATAATACACATTCCAGAAACTTACTTCATCTTAATGTTTGTACCAGCTCAGCAGCCCATACAAAAAGTTTCAAGTGAATTCTCTTTGATGCTTTCACAGAGTCACTTGGAACTTAAAAATCTATATTATAAAAACTCTTCTATTACCTTGATATTAAACAGCCATGGCTTCATAGCATCCACTTCTGCTTGTCCTTTGCTGAGATCATAAACAGCAAGATACAAGGCTCTCTGAGTCATAAAATGTGGATGAGTGCTGTAGAACTCCTCTTGTCCTAAAGGATAAAGAAATCAAATATTTCATACTACTTTCCTCACTTCACTCCTTCAGGTGAAAGAAACACAGTAGAACCTCACTTCTCCTCAGTTCACTAATCTGCAAACCTAATTAGGTCTCACAAAAATCCTGACAGTCTCATCTAACTTCTCTGCAAAACTTTCCATTGACATTAATGGGCTTTGGATCAGACTTGTGATGAACTGGGATCTAGCAACTACAGAGGCTGCTTCTTCCTCCACGAACTTCTTAAATAGCTAAGCTGTACAGGAACAATGCATCTAGAGAGACCTGGGTTTAGACAGCTGATACCAGAGGTAGAACATTTGTAGCTGTTTGACATTGGCTCTGGAAGTTAAACAGGCAAGATCAGACTGAGCCCAAGCATGACTGTGTTCAGAACTAAATGAGACACAGATCTTTTGATAAAGCCTCTTCCTGGGAACACTGACCTCTTTTAGGGAAAAAATTCCCTATACATACAAACGTATTGAAACCTGGAAGGAGGGGTTGGGCTATGAGAGAGAGAGAGAGAGAGAAAGAACTAACAAAAACCAAAAACACATACAGGGATGAAATCCTGGCTCCCCTGAAGTCAATGGCAAAACTCCCATTGAGTTTCAATGGAATCAGGTTTTCACCACAGTTTTTCCTACTCACTCATATTCTTCCATAATTGTATTTGGTTCTAACATACAAAAATGATAGGCATATTGGAACTACTTAAAGATAGATACATTAGGGTGGTTAGTGTGCACTTTGCCTGTATATGTATTCCTTTCAGTTTACCCAAACAGAATTCTGATGAAGTACACCAGAGGGAGCCCTTATACAACTGTTATGGTCTGTAACCTTAACTATAATTTAACTTAATTTTGCCTCAGTGCAGGGGGATGGATTAGATGAGCTCTTCATGTCCCTTTCAGTCCTACATTTTTATGATTCTACAGCAAATTGCAGTACTCAACTATTCTGTAGTCACATTACCATAATTAATACTAAACCACTATTATCAAAATAAGTGATCAGAGTACATTTAATGATGATGTATCCTTGGGTCTTTTGTTTTATGTATTTGTTCAATTAATCACTAATTTGCAAAATTCAGTAACTCACAATGAGTTCCTTGATTCAGAGTATGAATAAGCAAGATTCTGCTGTATGTGGTTTGAGATTTTACAGACTGTTTCTAGGAACAAGCATTGCATATATGAGTTAATCAGGGCAATAAATTAATATGTTTGTGAACAGAATACCTGCAAAATCCCAGACATTTAATATCAATTTCTTCACTTTGCCTTTCACGGGAACTGACCAGTCCTTTACATCTATGCCTATTGTAGGATTCTGTGTCCCCAAATCTGACCGTTTGCATTTCATTAGCTGCTGTAACAGTGTAGTTTTACCACTGCCAGTATTTCCCACAATCATGAGTTTCATTCTATTATAAGGGACAGCCTTCTTTAGCCGCTGCTGAAGAAACCTGGCATGAAAAATAGTTGATAAGATGTGTATAATAAAGACACATACCAAAAGAAGTCTCGAACTAGCAAACCAAGATCATTCCAACCCCTTTTCAAATTATTTACATAAACATTATTTAATATTGCATTTAATCTTTTTGACAGTGTGTGTGTTCATTTTGTATTTTTTAAAAATGTTTAACACAGACTAAATATCTTGTGTGTTTTGAATAACTAGTGCAAAACTTTCTATGAGTGACATATTGTAATATATTAAAGATGTACTAAGCAACCATTGAATACCTTTGTTTGCATAAGAGTCATATGCTTTTCTGGAGATATCATCAATTCATAAAGTGATACTATTATATTTTCATATGACTATGAACCACATTTTTCTTGAGGAACAAAGGTTCACTGGAATCATAACTAAGTCAAAGATCATGTGGGAAATCAGTTGATACCTTTAAAGGGGCATATTGTTACCACACCATCCACTGTGTATTCCACAAAGACATGAAAAACGGACAACAATAGGAAAACAAACCTTATAATGTCTCTGGCTTTGCATCCAACATGTTTGAAATCTAAATTAAGATGAAGCCCATCCAAAGGAAGATCCCAGACTTTGGACAACTTTCCCATTTCATCTGGAAAGGAGCTCAAGCCAGGATTATAACTTACATCCAGAGATGTCAAGTTTTCAAGGAAGCCAATTTGAGGAGGAATCTGGATAGAGAAAAGTTAATAAACATTTGAGCATTTATTAAAAGTGAGCATTTATTTGTCTATATATAAGGATGAGTATCTTAAGCAAATTTTTAATAAGACCAAACACAATTCCAATTCTTTCCTTCCAGTTATTATTATCATCAATCATCATCATCATCATCTAAAGTATACATGCCTAATATCTTGATTGGACAAGAAAGTAACTCTTAAAGAACTAATTTTATATCCCTTTTACAAAGAAGATGACAAATACTGTTCTTACCATACATTAAAGACAGAAAGAGCTTTAGGAAAGATAGTCATATTCTTTTCAAAGGCAATACACAGTTCTAATTACATGGTATTTTACTACTAGGGTCTTCATTCATAAAAAGTCACGCAAGAATGACCAAATTTAATTTAGGGTTGATCTGAAAACCAAGTGATCATTTTAAAGACCATATACACCTCTACCTTGATATAACGCTGTCCTCGAGAGCCAAAAAATCTTACCGCATTATAGGTGAAATCACATTATATCGAACATGCTTTGACCCACTGGAGTGTGCAGCCCCCCCTCCCCCCCCCCCGAGCGCTGCTTTACCGCGTTATATCCGAATTTGTGTTATATCGGGTCGCGTTATATCGGGGTAGAGGTGTATAAATATGAAAAGCGGTTGGATGTTTTTAAGTATCTAAAAATTCATACTTTACCTCCTTTAACTTGTTACGGGACAGGTGTAGCTTTTCTAGCCTGGACCATGCATATGCTTTTTCATTCAAGTCCAAAATGTCTATCTGATTGCAGTTAAACAAGAGCTCCCTTAAGTTTAAGGATTTCCAGTGCACAGGTCCAGGCAGGTTTATGATTTTATTGTTGCTTAAATCTACTGATCGCAAACTAAGAAAATAAAGGGGGAAAATTAGCAGAGAAAATAAATAAAATGGAGACTAGCTATAACTATATTAATCTGTTATAAACAAACAAAGGGGGAAGATATTAGAATAAGAATTTCTGTTGAAAATTTAGATAGGAAGATAGAAACTTATTGATGACATAAGGCCAACCTCAACAATGTTCTTAAAGGAAGTAATATTAGAAAGCAACAGTAATTATCTGAGACAATATTGCAAATAGGATGTGGATATATCGGGGGGGGGGGGGGGGAGGAGGAAAAGAACACCAGAGAACTATGATTGCTTCAATAAAGCGTACTGTTAATGTATTTATTTACACATGGAATTATATATTCTGGAAATGAACACTCATAATATAATGAATATACTTATTTCAGTGACTGAACCAAAAGTGGCACTTTCAAATACATGCATGTGCAGTTACATCAATATGGGATAATATAATTATTTTTATTTATACAGTATGATGAGTGTGCATGGTACCATCCAGATTAATAAAAGACCAAATCTAAATTCTGCTTTCAGTCACACCTGTGTAAACATAGGGTAACTCAAATGAAATCAATAGTTATTCCAATTTTTTACCCATATATCAGAGCAGAATTTGGCCAGTGGTCCCAGGTTCTAGTGACTTCACAATAAGGGCATCTTTACTAAAATAAACACACTTAGAGCATTCATTTCAATATAATATCAGAAGAATGTACTTATTTTAATGTGTTTTATGAGATTCAAATAAAAAGGCACTAAGTGTTTCCCTATATGTTCTTGCATGTATACTACATGTTGAAGAAACACATGAATCATAGAATATCAGGGTTGGGAGGGACCTCAGGAGGTCATCTAGTCCAACCCCCTGCTGAAAGCAGGACCAATCCCCAGACAGATTTTTGCCCCAGATTCCTAAATGGCCCCCTCAAGGATTGAACTCACAACCCTGGGTTTAGCAGGCCAATGCTCAAACCACTGAGCTATCCCCATTATGTGCATTTATTTCTATGTGCAATCTATTGAACAAATTCAGCTGTGTTTATTTCAATGTGAAGTATGAACTATGAAAGAAATTCTTGGACCTCTTATCTGACTTGTCTGGGCTGGGAGACACAAAGCTTGAGAGCTGCATCTCCTTCAATAAGTTTATTAAGTTTTAGGGCTGTCGATTAATCGCAGTTAACTCCCACGATTAACTCAAAAAAATTAATCATGATTAATCACAGTTTTAAATCACAATGATAAACAATAGAATACCAATTGAAATGTATTAAATTTTTGGATGTTTTTCTACATTTTCAAATATATTGATTTAAATTACAACACAGAATACAAAGTGTACAGTGCTCACTTTATATTATTTTTTATTACAAATATTTGCACTGTAAAAATGATTAAAAAATAGTATTTTTCAATTCACCTCATACAAGTACTGTAGTGTAGTGCAATCTCTTTATCGTGAAAGTGCAACTTACAAATGTAGATTTTTTTTTGTTACATGACTGCACTCAAAAACAAAACTATGTAAAACTTTAGAGCCTATATGTCCACTCAGTCCTACTTCTTGTTCAGCCAGTTGCAAAGACAAAACAAGTTTGTTTACATTTATGGGGGATAATGCTGCCCACTTCTTATTTACAGTGTCACCTGAAAGTGAGAACAGGTGTTCGCATGGCACTTTTGTAGCTGACATCGCAAGGTATTTACGTGCTAGATACTTCTACAGAAGTAGCTGGAGTCAATATGTAACCAGTAGCGGATACTGGAAGGAGTAACAGGAGGAGGCCACAGAGATATTGGATACATAGGAGAGTGGGGTGGAGCTGCAGTGCCAGAACCAGAAGTGGTGGGAGGGAGCTGCCACGTGAGGGATGAATAGAGGAGCAATACTGGTGCCTAAGAAGTGACTTGAAAAAGTGGGTTGGAGAGTAGTGCTGAGGCTGGGAGGATAGCAAGAGGAAGTGGGCGAGTAAACCTCTCTGGAGCTTGGAAAGGTGGTGGAAAGGAATGGGAGTGGCA